ACCAATGACCTTTTCTGCAGTCCTGACTGTCCTCTGAAGTCTGTACTTGTCCTGTTTGGTTGCTGAGCCAAACCAGACAGTGATGGAGGTGCAGACAACAGACTCAATGATTCCTCTGTAGAACTGTATCAGCAGCTCCTGGGGCAGGTTGAACTTCCTGAACTGGAGCAGGAAGTACATCCTCTGCTGTGCCTTCTTGGTGATGGTGCTGATATTGGTCGCTGACTTCAGGTCTTGGGAGATAGTGGAGCCCGGGAACTTGTAGGACTTTACTGCTGATACAATGTTGCTGAGTGTGATGAGGTGTGGTGGGGTAGGGGGCAGTTTTCATTCACTAACAAAGCTGCATGATGAATGAGTTATTCTTAAATTTCAAATTCAGTGATGCTTGATTTGCAGTGAAAATCAGATGCAAATGTCTGTGCTCCCATTTCAGAGCAGTGAGGCAGCTGAGCAGTTGGCGGTGGACACTGGATGCTGTCATCTGTTGTGTCCTTCTGTGTGTGTCTGTGTGTGAAATAGAGGAGTGATAGAGAGCAAGGGAACAAAAAGAGTGTTTTGTCAGGTTGTGTGACCACTAGGCTAAAATTTGTCTCAGTGCTTAACAGTCACAGTCAGTGTGCGCTTCATTGCACACTGCTCAAGTCTGGCACACAGCAAGTGCCTCTGCAATCAAGCACATCTCCTCAGCCTCCTCACCAAATGGCCTTATGTCACAACATTATGTGTCCCCTCGTCCTTCTTCCTTTGTCACTTAGCCAGTAATGAGTACCATAATGGCAGACCTCTGCCATCCAAGCGAACACAAATATGCATTCCCTTGTGTTTTAAACACCTGTTAAGACCCCACTTTGCTGAGAGTGTGCTCAGCTGAGCTGTGATGCAATTGCCCTGCCCGCTAGCTGCAGCCAAATGCAGAGAGAGAATATTTTAGAAAGAAAGAGAAAGGTGGAGAGTGGGATGAGATGGACACAGGAAAAGAGAAGAGGGTAGGAAAGAGGCAGCTCCCTCAAAGCTTCACTGCTGCTGCCAGAGCCACTTGTTTCACCCAACCTCCTCTAAGGGCAACTAAGTGTGTTTACAAGCCAGCTGACTGCATCCTAGCATGCTTTCTGCCTCCTTGGATCAGTGTCAGAGCTTCCCTAAGTGCACTGCTCCTGCGGTTTCACCAGGAGAGACAGAGGGACGCAGAGACAGGACGTAGGGGCAAATAACCGAAAAACATTTCCTGCAGATGATATGAGGATCAAATTTGCACCAGAATATTGGATTATTTGTTGACTTGATTGGATCTTTTTGCACAAGTTGACAACTTTATTAAAATTTTTGTAACAAGCTCTGCCTGACAGTTTGGTCCAGAGTCTCCACAGAATGTTTCGTGATCCTAGGACCTCCCCAGATTTTGTCCACAGCCAACACCAATCTAATAGCAGACTCGGAGCACATTGGAGCATATTCATACGCTCCAGAGAACGAACCCCTCTGTTTATGGACACTCCACTTTCATCCTGGGCAAAATATATAATAGCTGGATTGCCAAAGAGTATGCTACATTCATTGTCCCCAGAGGGTGGACCATACTGATGTAATTGTGCATCAAATTGTACAGTTTGACAAGAATATTTCATAATGTCATTTGCTGTTTACAAGGGTATTTACACTTTAAAACAATAAGCACATAACAGCCAAACCAATTGGACTTAACTGACAGGTGAATGAACGGATAAAACCATTCTTTAAACATGTACAATTATTGCCAAATAATGTAGTACCTTGTTTTTCAAGCATTACGTGACCTGGTTTTATTGCATTTATCACATTATTAGTAGCCTCATGCCTCAGAAAGCAGAACTGTTTTGACACATTTTGTGTGAGAGGCTGCTGGACGCACACTTACAGGAGAGCCAGAGGAGAACATTGATGGTTATGTGCTGCTCAGGTGGTAACCAGCTAACAGATGCAGTTGGTTTTGTCAGAGCTTCTTCTGATGCGGGCCATGGGGGCCCGAGCTGTGCTGCTGTTTTGAAGAGAGTGAGTCAGACTGTAACAGACCTTCTTGTGCTCCTGCCTGCCTACCTCTAAGATTTACCACCCACCTCATCCATTCGCCACAAACTCTCTCACATAACTGTACAGTGCACACACATTTTCTCCCTCATTTATCTTTGCTTTGCCTCTCTTTGTCACTGTCTGTCCACCCCTCCCTCGCTGTCTTTACTTTTGCTCACATACACAAAACAGGCCTTGTGTTAGCTTATGGTTGCAACTTTTGGGTGATAAAACTCCAAAGTTTTATTATTCCCATATATAATCCTTGGCAGGTTGAAACATAATAAGTTTCAGAAATTCAGGCAAGCACTGCAATTAATTAAATGTTTAAAGGATGTTGATATGCAGTATTTTTCTTGTTGTCAACAAATACTATAAAAATGCCAAAACCAGAAATGAATAGATTTTTCTGACAAGTATAGTGGGTGTATCAAAAGCCTGATAGATGATTCCTCTGTGCCATATCCTCTACTGCTGTTGCAAAACCTGGCCATTATTTTGCACCAAATATGTGTTGATCCAAAGCTGAAAATAGCCCCCTAACAGTTTCCTCCTGTTTGAGTAACATTTGCTAAAAACTGCAGTGCCCATCAGTTTTAGCAAATGTTTTTATATCTTCTATAAAGTGAAACCTTGTCAGTGATTGATTTACTTTACTGTACATCATAAGTAGAAACCACTGGGCTTGGAGCTGACAGCCACATATAGAGAGTTATGGAAGTTAAGAAATAGTGAAAGAAAGATTATATTGCTTCTGTCAGTGATCTTTTCATTAGATTTATTGACAGTAAGAAAACACAGCTTTTTAAATTCAGTCTGAACATTAATGGAAACTCCAGGTCTGTATTAAATAGAATTACAGAACTGTTTATATTAAACATTTATTTACAGCAAACACAGACTGAAGGATGCCCTTATTGCTCCAGTCAAGCAAGTTGTCTAATCTGATGACAGTGCATGAACATGATGGCAAGAGGGTTGCAACAGTATGAGATTTTCACTGTATGATAACATCTCAGAAAAGATCATGGTTTCACAGTAATATGGTATTACACAATTACTATTAATATCAGCTACAATGGCCCAAAGAAGAATGAAAAAAGGGTATTTTTTATTGTAAGTGACTGTGATAGTTGATTGAGCTGGATTGTAGCACTAGACTGACCCTAAAGAATAAACACAAGATTAAAAAAAACATTCAAGTCTAACAGGTTGTATAACTAAAGAATGTTAGTTTGCATATTAGCACCAGTAGTAGAGGAAGTAGTCACATCCTTTACTTAAGTAAAAGTACTGATATCACACTGTAAAGTAACCTATCTGTTTTCAAAGCTTTATTTACTTCCACTGCTGCAGGAAGGATGGAAGTTCACCTTTTAATGGATCCCTGAAAAGTTTATATCAAACTTGCATTCAGTTTTTGCTGGTGGTGACTTTCTTTAACCTCTGGCAGTTTACTTCTTAGCTTTGCACCATTTAAGGTTATTCACTGGACTTGAATTCTTGACATGTCAAATAAAAACTGGAAAAATGGAGGTGATCCCAAACCTTTGAACAGTCATGTACAGCACATGCTTGAAGTTCTTGTATCTTCTTGTTCTTGGGCTGGAAAACGTCTTGTGAGACATGTTGTCACAATGTTCTAAGTGATTATCAAAATAGTTGTGAATTTATTGTAGGTGTGAGAGAGTGCAGCCAGACGTGTCTGTGCCTTCACACACACATAGACACTCATTTATGTGAGCCAGGAAAGTTTGTTTTTCTGGGGTCAGATCGGGATCAGCGTGGGTTCTTTTGTAGGTCAGAGATTAGTGAACAGACAGACAATGTGGGGAATTATTTTGACAGCACTTCAGTTTTTTATTTGTTAAAAACGTTTGAAATATCCAATAAATTTCGTTCCACTTCATGATTGTGTCCCACTTGTTGTTGATTCTTCACAAAAAATTACAGTTTTATATCTTTATGTTTGAAGCCTGAAATGTGGCAAAAGGTCGCAAAGTTCAAGGGGGCCGAATACTTTTGCAAGGCACTGTACCATGGTATACCGTGAAACCAATATACCGCTGCAGCCCTAGACTTTGCAACAAAACAACTGACAGTGAGTTTCAGATGATTATCTCATCTTCATCTAGCATCACTTTGTTTGATACCAGTGCCTTAATAGTTTCCTATGATCTTAATCTTATAAAGAAGTTTTCAGATAAACAATCCAGATTTTGATATGCAAAATGTATGTTGATCTGTCCTGGGCTTCTTTTGAGGGATTTGCATCTTATAAAACATATTGACATAATTTTCTTTTGTTGCTTGGCTGCAAGACATAAAGCACGTCAGTACATGCTGTAGTTTGCCAGCAAAGAAAATAGTTTGTGCTAAATGATGAACTAGCCACAAGGGAGATAAGAGTATGTTATCTGAGCAAATGCATCAGCCACAGGCACATTCAGGCTTATTACTGTTTGTTGCCTCCTGTGCAAATTACATAAGATTTGTTTGTGTTTATTTTTTTTATTTTTTTTTAACAAATTATGTAAGGTCTTGTTGGTGTTGTGTATGCTAGCTGTAGCTCTGTATACACTGTTAAGAGGACAGACTGGAATTCTGCTGTCTGAAAAACCAGACAGTAGAAGAAAACAGTCCTTGGACAAACTCACACATTCTCAAAGTCCCACAGCAGCTATAAGACATCTTTCACCTGACCTGTGATTACCCATCAACCCCAGTCAGCTCTCCTCCCCCTCCCATCATTTTCTCTCTTCCTCCACTCTGTGGCAGCTCTACTCTTCTCCTCCTCCGTTTCCACTTCTTTCTCTTCTCCTCTCCTCTGGTTCTCATCCTCCTCCTCTTCCCCCTCCTTCTCGACACTGTTCAGCCACTGTGACTCATCCTCACCTGGTGAATATTTCAACATCTGAGACTCTCTCCATCTGGCGGTGGAGGGTTGATGCTAGAGGATGGGGAGGAGGGTGTGGAGCGATACCTTGCTCGGTGTTGCCTGAGGGGGAGTGTTATGGGCAGGATTATGAGTAACTGCCACCTATCCATCCCTCACATGCACATTTGCTTTTACTGTCCTGCAAACAATTCCCTCAGCCTCCGTTCACAACATGGCTGCCATGTTTTCCTGGAATACCTGACACAGTGGAGCAGTAGCGACTGCATGACTTAACAGGCAGTGTAATCATTTCTGCCTTTTTGAGGATGGTGCCCAAAAAATGCGAAGGTGTGTTTAGTAAGTCGCAAGAACTGAAAGAGCTTTACAGGCACGTTTGGCAATCAGTAACTGGATTAGCGCCACTTAAGACAGAGTATTAGCTGGGGGAATTCAGCCTCCTACTTCAGTGGCCCATCAGATTGGGTAGTTTTTGCGTTATCCATCACTAGTGTTGCATCAGCTCCATTCTTTCACAAAATGACACCCAACTAGAAGAATATTGCATCAGCTTGTGAATCATAGACAGAACAGAGGTGTCCGTCTCTCTGACTGTGTCTTTATGTGTGTGTCTGTTTGTTGAGTTTGTCCTAAAATAGTCTGAACAGGAACAATGGATGAAACATTTTTTATTACACTGGGCTGCAGCTGGCACAGAGCTCAGTGCAGTGAAATGCACTCAGTGTAAACTAAGACCAGCTTTTCACCCACTCTCAGGTAGATGTGTTTGTACTTTCTGCTGATTGTGTAAGTCAGAGTATTCTCGGCATGACCATCACACTTCTTTTCATTTTGCGACTATAATTAACATTCCTGGAAAAGAACCGTGCTTGCAGCAGCACTTTGGAGTGCCGTGTGGTAAATGAATACATTAAGGGTACTATCACTTCATTATATTATGTTGCTGTGGTCTTAATCAGCACACTGGAGTCAGTTACAGAAGATACTTGCCCCCCCCCCGGTCCCCCTGATATGTTTTGGAGTACTGTACCTGTGCACAGTAAATACATTTCTGCTGACACATCTTATCCTAACGTATGATACACTACATATTTCCTGTGGCTCTGACTCAGTGTGCTTATTGCTGGTATGCTGCAGACTGTGAAATTAACTCCTTCATTGGCTAGCATCTGACCCGCAGCTATTTCTCATTGCAGACTGCAAGAATCTGATCAAATGTAACCTCAGTAAAGAAGCCAAAGCAAAGATGGAGGTGAAAGTCTGGGATGTGTCTGGTGCTGAGGCTCATTACTTAATGTTAAGATGTTGCTCACTTTAGCATCCTGTAATACACATAGCATAGAACGATGAGTTGAGTTCTTCCATCCCAGGGTTAAATTACTACAAGAAATGGATTCAATTACTTTAATGAGGATTGACTGATCTGCCTGGCACAATGGAACCAATTAGATTCTCCCAAAAGTGCAGCCCTTCCACGGCCTCCCCTCCAGACATGCTGAGGAAGAGGCTCAGTGTAATTCAAAGGATTTCAATTAGTAATTGATCCTGGTTTGGTGGTTCCCCATATATTTGACATCATGATGCGCTGATGCTGTTACTGCTTCCTCTTCCTTTTTGAGCTACGCCTTGCCCTGTGCTCTGACACGGTGCTGCCAGTTTCCATTTCTGTCCACACTGCCTTTTCTTTCTTTCTTCTCATTACTCTTCTCCTTTCACTAATTTCCTCCTCTTTTGTCTTCTGCTTGCTGTTTGTCTCAGCTTCCGCTAACAATACCCATGCCTGGCAATCGCAGTCACGTAAGTTCCTTTAATTCTTATTTGTTTCATCAGGCGGCGCATTCTGCTCACATTTGCCCTGCTTGCTGGTTAGTGCGTTACAAAGCCAAGTGGCACACACACTTTTGCCAGCAAAGCGTTTGCATTAATCACACACATACATCCCAAGTCATGCGTAAGATGTCGATGTAACGTTTAAAGAAAAGACATTTAGAGGAGAATGTTTTCTTCCTCAAAGCTCCGATCAGTTTAGAAGACAACACCGAGAAGCAGCAGACTTGCATTTTAGACAGAATTGATCACACAGCTTCAGAGGTTTTACCAGAGTCATTTTACCCTCATTAGTCTTTAATGGTCCATATGTTTAGCTGTGAAGATGCCCAACTTCTTGAGGACTTTAGTTTAAAGACTCCCCCTAGTGAGTAAAATCAACAGTTGGTAGTGGCTGTTAAGATAGGCATTCATTGACTTTTTGCTCATTTTCTTTAGCTACAAAATGAGCCTTAGGTACCTTTAATTTGTGCTACTAATCAAGGAGGGAGTCAAAGAAAAGACTGAATAATGCAAGTTTAGACTATAAGAGTAGCCATGCTTTCATTGTGACATAGCCTATATTATTCATACTTCAGCTTACAGTAAGATCATAGTGAACCTGCTGTACTTTCCAAAATGAATCAGATGTAACCCAGCCAGGACATTTTACATGTTTTTTTTTTTCATGTATCTTTTTCTTTAATGTAAAATAACATAAATATTGTTTATGCTTTATTTGATTTAGCTGTTCTTAAAATCAACATAAATACACTTTCTTTGTTGGAGTTAAATGTGTAAAAGAGGAAATCTGTGGTGAATTTACTGCCATGTCAAAAGCACTGTCAAATTGAAAGTGACTAACTGTCCAACATCCCTGATTAGAAAACACAAATATTGATTGTAAGCGGGAAAAAAGAATGAAGTCTGTGGGTGTTTATGTGGTTATGTTCATATTCAGTTCACAGTATGTTTGTGCCCTTTGCTGTGTATTGTAACTCACCTTGTTTCAGTTTCCAGGGGGAGAAAATGGAGAATGTAATTGAAAAACATGAATGTAAGCAATAAATGTGGCTTGTAGTTGTGATACCTGTAACCAGTTCTCTGTGTTGCTGACCCGGCAGTGCGATTTGCACCCTACCGGCCTCAAGACATCGCCCTCAAACCTCTGTTGTTTGAGGTGCCCAGCATCACCATGGACTCTATCTTCACGGGCCGCGAGTGGCTCTTCCAGGAGATCGATGCCCACCTCAACAGCCCCAACACCGGCACCAACCATGGCGTGGTGGTGGTGGGCAACATCGGCTTCGGCAAGACTGCGATCATCTCTCGCCTGGTGGCGCTTAGCTGCCACGGCACCCGCATGAGACAGATTGCCTCTGACAGCCCTCAAGCCTCTCCCAAACGTATGCTCACTTTTAAGTATGATGTCCAAGCCCGCGTTCTTTGTAATGACCAGAAAAGATGGCAAACTAATAACGATTCTTTCCTGAATTCCATTTTTAAACTGTAGCCTTTAAAAAAAAGTTGGCCTTTGTTTTAGGAGTAACTGTGTGAAAAAGATTATATGAATATGACACGTGCTGGTGCTTCCTCTGAGTGTGTGATGCCATCTTGTGTCCAGATGGAGAGGGGCTCCCTCTCACCCAGCCCCAGCCCACACATGGCACCCTGGGAGGAGGCAGCTGTCCCGGCACCCCTGAGATGAGACGGCGTCAGGAAGAAGCCATGAGGAGGCTGGCATCTCAGGTACACCTGTGACTGTGTATACATATAACCACACATACGTTTACATGTCAGCCCCTGATTTGCAGACTGTAGGTGGAACATTAGTCTCCAGGTACTTTTACTCTGTGATGGTTGATCGGTGCTTTTTGCCTCTGATTGGCTTCCCTGGCAAATGCAAATAATCTATTTTTCAACCGTTTACTTTGAAAAGAAGTGTGCTTGTAGTGATTTTCTCATTTGATTGCAGTATTTCATAAGAGGCCACAAGCCAAAGCCACTTAGGAACACTTCTACCTCGCCACACCTCTGTTTGCCACCTTTTCTTTTCACAAATGTAGAAAAAAAAAAAAGAACTACATTCAGTTGCCAAATATTTTTGTGAAGTCTCATTTGCATTTGACTGCACTGTCAAGTCTTTTTTTTTTGACATTTTTTTTCCAAAGTGTAGCACTGCATACATGATTATTAATAGGAAATATTGGTGATTTTTGTAGAAAAGTAAATTTCATTGTGTTTGTGAATCAGTGTGAAATTTACAGGCCTCATCCGTAACAGAAAAATTGCAAGATTGTTTTAAATGACTTTTGATGACTTAATTTTTCAGGTAGTGTTGTAGTACTCGAGTGCAGGACTCGTGTCCAACTCGAGACCAGGTTTTCTGGACTTAGGACTCAACTTGGACTTGGACTCAAGCATTGACTGCGTTCAGACTAGGAAGTTGGAGGCTGTTCACACTCCTCACTTCTAAATAGTGTGTGTGTGTGTGTGTGTGTGTGTGTGGCTGTTTGGCTATTGTGTCACACACAATAAGTGAACTCCTTTTTAAATGGTGAGAGCTGTGTCAGTTGTGTTTAATGTAGACCTTGATGACTCCGACTCAGGTAACAGGGACTCGATGTCGACTCGAACACTGGGGTCTCCTGACTCCACTGGCAGGATAGCCAGTTACATACTCTGCTGAAAATTATTTTCCAAAATACAAGCAAGGACAGAGCTTGTTTTTTTTTCTGAAATTATACTCCTTCAAGTTTTGTAAATGAAGTCAAAGTTTCTCACCACCTGCACCCTACGGTATTGTGGGCTCACTCAGAGTTAGCTCCTGAGTGAGTTGACTTTAAAGCAGGTGGATATAAAACTTAAGTTGGGACTTTGTTTTTACTTTTTTAATCCGTTGAAGGGTTTTGCAGCTCTTTTCTGTTCTGAATATTTAGCACTTCAGTATTTAACTTAATATAACCTCCCTGCAAGGTAAACCAATATGACATGTGAAATAGGTGTTTTCCTGATATTCTTCCTGTCTGCTGTTCCACCTTGGTCCCCCTCCCCTGCTGCTTAGCCATCTGCATCCCCAGTCCCAGCCTGATGTATTATGCAGATGTGTTTAAAAAAGAAAAAACAACTTTGCCAGGGAGCCTTATGAAATATTTATACCTGCAGAAAGCCATTTCCCAGTCAAGCTATTAGATCTTGTTAACTCTGTGCATTAATAATTGAGCTCACTCCCTTTTTCACCCCTTTTGTTTTAAAGTCCTTTATTCCATTGTGACCAAAAATTAGCATCCCGCGATTAGTCTTTTTTTCCGTTTCCATTTTGTCACTGTCCTCTGATCACTGCCACTGCTTCTGAACATTCAAACTGTTTATAATCTCTGTCTTTATGAGCGCTGGGTCACACCTGCTGATGCCAGTTTAGTTGGCTAGTCGCTCAAAAAATTCACCTGCCCTCTACTGATGTCACTAGATATCTGTGCTAAGATAACTTTTCATTGATTCCTTCATTTAATCATTCATTTGAACATGTTTCAAGTCCATAGCTGTGAAATGTGACAGTTTAACACTTGACTCCTTCCTGCTGCTGTCACCTCACATGCACACACACATGCGCTAACTTCAAATCAGTTACTCTTGGCAGGCAGAAGACATGAATTATTAATAGCTGAAACTGTACAGTGAAACCAAAAGTATCATGTTTCATTATGCTACAATCATCCACCACAAAGCAGATTCAATCCCATACGAGTTGTAGCTGTAGTAGACGCTGGGAAAACTGGCTTTGCACTGAGAGAGCTCTGAACAAAATGCGTTGTTTCTAAGTCATCATCTGACTCCAGTGGCCCTTCACATCGGGCTTCTATCTGTTTTATGATACCAACGTGTTGGTCAAGGTTAGGATTACCAGAAGGGAATGGAAATGCTCATACAGTATTTCTCTGAATGACCTGGCTTCAATCTTCTCCCAACTCTCTGTCACCCCCAGGTGGTGGCGTACCATTACTGCCAGGCAGATAATGCCTACACCTGCTTGGTGCCGGAGTTTGTGCACAATGTGGCAGCTCTGCTGTGCCGTTCGCCGCACCTCGTTGCCTACAGGGAGCAGCTGCTGAGGGAGCCGCACCTACAGAGCATCCTGAGTCTCCGCTCTTGTGTCCAGGACCCCCTGGCCGCGTTCAGGAGGGGGGTCCTCGAGCCCCTGGATGCACTATACAAAGGTGATAAACCTGCAGTTAAAAATAAAACTTAGTACATTTACTCAAACACTGTGCTTAAGAACAATGTTGAGGTACTTAGACTTTGTTTGAGTATTTCTGTACTATGTTACTTCTGCTCCACTATATGTCATGACTATTTTTACTGTATTCATACTAATAAAAACCACAGTGCAGAGGAGAGTACCTAAAAACAACCGATATACAGAGATGTCATTCCATGAGCTGATTTTTCAGCAGATGTTCTGCAGAGCATAAAGGGAAAATGACAACCTGACAACAGTCACCGTATTTGTTATCCTCCATGGCATCTCCACAATTTAAGTGATGCCTCATCTGACCACAAATCCAGTTTATTTTTGACTCAAGTCCTTGTTGGATAATATGAGTTGATTGTTGTGCACCATGTGCTCAGTATAGTCAAAATGTATTATATCAGTTCTGGAGCAGATTTTTTTTAAAACCTCCTAAAGTACTAAACCAAACATGAGCTTCACAGGTGATATTGCTCCAAGCTTTTCATTGAAAAAGAGATGGAAATGAAATCTGTGATTGGTTTTTGAATGAAAGTCACTTTTGGATTGACACTGACACTGACGACTCGCATGTTGACATTTGGCACGTGCTTTACTCCGGATGCCCTTCCTGACGCAACCCTGACTCAAACCCGGGCTGCAGCGGCGAGAGCGCTGCGCCTTAACCACTAGCCTACCAGGGACTGTGATTGGTTTTTGAATAAATAGTGAAATTAAATTTTTATTAAACAGAAGATGCGGGTTTGACACACTGACAAAAAAAGCAGAAACTTAGCAGTTGCCATGTGCTGAGGAAGACCATAAGATGTGGTTGAAAGCCCTGGAAAATTCAAGTACTGTAATCAGTTGTTTCTGATACCAATAATGAACCTTAAAGCTCATTAGAATCATTAAAATCATCAATCGTGAAATCATTGATTTGCTCAATTTGATCTTTTTCATGCTGCTTTTTTTCCAGAGAGGAAGATCAACTCTGAGGAGGACCTCATCATCCTCATCGATGGTCTGAACGAGGCAGAGTTTCACAAGCCGGACTATGGAGACACCATCGTGTCCTTTCTCACCAAAACCATCCACAAGTTCCCTCACTGGCTCAAACTTGTGGTCACTGTCAGAACCACTTTGCAGGTAGAATATGGCAGTACATCCCGCTGTGTGCACTCACTCCTCTGCTCTGTTATATTTAATCTAATTCAGAAGGTTTTGTTTTTAAATGAAGCAAGTGCTGGTTCCTTTTCCCACTGCCAACTAAAGGTGAGCTCAGCCTCAGTGGGAGGCCATTACCTGACAATACTGAAAATGTCCTGAATAAAGCTCTACCTTCTTTGTTTCTGACCTTTTCACTTTTCATCTATGTGTATTGTGCAGATAATATTTATAGAAAGTTATTACAGTCTGATAGTTTTTGTTCTATTTTTTATTCATGAGCAAGACATAGGTATAGACGACTTATTCATAGCATGTCTTATTTTATTTTTGATCTACAGTATACAGTAGTTATTTGACCTCTATTAGTAAGTATGTAGGCTGCTGTCAAATGTGTTTCTGTGTCTGCACCAATATCACCACAAACAAGTTCCTGACTGAAATGACCCTGACTCTTCAGGAGATCACCAGCGGGCTACCATTCCACCACATTTCTCTGGACAGCCTGGAGGAGAACGACGCCATAGACCAGGACCTGCAGGGCTACATCCTGCACCGCATCCACAGCAGCCCAGAGATCCAGAACAACATCTCTCTCAACGGCAAGATGGACAACACTACCTTCGGCAAGCTCAGTGCCCACCTCAAGGCCCTGAGCCAGGGGTCCTACCTGTACCTCAAACTCACCTTTGACCTCATCGAGAAGGGCTACCTTGTCCTCAAAAGCTCCAGCTATAAGGTGTGGCATTACTCCTTAGTTTATAATGGTTTTTACAGGTACTTTGTGTGGTGCCTGATTAAATAAAGGCTTTTAAACATAATCCTTGCTCCACTCAAGAGTACCTGAAGTTTTGTTTTTTTTTCAAATTTTTACTCCAGTTTAACTTCCAGAGCACCTTAAGACTTTCTGGATTTGTTGTAAGTTTTGAATTGCGAGCACAAAGCCTTTTCTCTCTTTATGCTTTGACAGTCAGAATCCAACACAGCTAGGTTGTTTTAGAGCACATTTCATAATGAAATATTTTATCTCACACCCACAGATTCATTTACTTTCATGTATTCAGAAAGGCTTCCAGGCTCCAGAAAAATGACAACTGAAATTCACAGTCTCCTTTTTGCAGAGGACCATGTGGGATAGTTCAAGATGTGTTTTACAAACACAATGTTTTATTCATAAACTGTAGAGAGGATCCAGATGCCATCAGCGTTACAGTTGAGTCTCTCCTACCTCCCTCAGGTGGTTCCAGTCAACCTGGCAGAGGTGTACCTGCTGCAGTGCAACATGCGCTTCCCCACGCAGTCGTCGTTCGAGCGAGCGCTTCCTCTGCTCAGTGTGGCTGTGGCCTCACTTCATCCACTGACTGATGATCAGATATATCAGGCCATCAACGCTGGTTCACTACAGGTAAAATCCGACAACCACAGTGACTTCTGGTCCCCACGAAGATAATAATTCATGGATTTTGGGCTGCACAAGTATAGAAAAACAAGGCCAGTCCTGATGAAGCAGATTGTGCAGTCTGGTTTGAGCTTTAGTTGTGTTTGTCACTTTCACTGAAAACACTTCATTACCAAAGATCTGTTTAGATTCCAAAAACAATATGATATGAGTCGATTCCATGCACATACTGTACAATGTTCAGTGTCCAAAATAACTTTGAAACACTCTGTGGTGGCAGGGCACACTGGACTGGGAGGACTTCCAGCAGCGTGTGGACAACCTGTCGGTCTTCCTGGTGAAGAGGAGGGACGGTACCAGGATGTTTGTTCACCCGTCCTTCAGGGAGTGGTTGATCTGGAGAGAAGAAGGAGAGAAGACAAAGTTCCTCTGCGACCCGAGGTGAGGACAGGCCGGACGCAGGATGGATTGAATGAGATGAAAAGCTGGTCATCTGTGTAGACAGGAGGTGTCCTGACACTCTTCATGTAATGTCATTAGAAAACAGTAGTTCTTTAGCATCGTGCTGCAGGAGTTGCCATCTGGAAACAGGACAATGGAGTGGGACACAACAGGGAGGGACCATATAAAACAAGGCAATGCCCTAACATCCTGTCTTACAGACAGAATGGATGAGGCTGTTTAAAAAAATCTGTGGTTATCTTTTATTTTTTTTGCAGTTTTTATGTACATCTTCTGAAATGTATTAATATATCTCAGCTGTTTTTAAAGAAGTAGAATTAATAAGACTCAAACCAAAATGATAAAGAGCTGTTTCTACAGACAGTCTTGTGTAACAAGCAGCAGCAGCTGTGCAGTTCATTTGTATATGTTTACATATATATATATCTGTGTTAGTCACAGGTACATTATGTTTATCTGGCAGGAGAAGTGTTATATTTTCAGCCGGAACATTTTATTTCCTTTTATTATAATTAAGACAGATTCCACCAACTGTGCAGATGATAACACAATGTAACAGCTCGATGACTCAGTCTCAAGTACTGAAAGGTTCTGTTTGTCCTCTCTGTAGGAGTGGGCACACCCTGCTGGCCTTCTGGTTCTCTCGGCAGGAGAACAAGCTGAACAGACAGCAGACTATTGAGCTGGGCCATCACATCCTCAAAGCACATATCTTCAAGGTATATGCTATACCTGTTTGTGTCCACACACAGCTGTGGTATGGCTCCAGAGTAATGAATATTTATGCTCTCTCTCTGTGTTGAAGGGTCTTAGCAAAAAAGTCGGGGTGTCCTCATCCATCTTGCAAGGCCTGTGGGTATCCTACAGCACAGAGGGCCTTTCAGCAGCACTTTCTTCACTTCGAAACCTCTACACTCCCAACATCAAGGTACAGGCTTTAACATGGCAGAGAGGAGCAATTCTTACAGAGTATTTCAACATGTGCTTGCTACTAAATCAAGACTACCTCATGAAAATCCTTCATGGGAATCTTCCTCTTTCTGAACTGAGATAGTTTCAGTATTTGGCACCATACTTTGCTGTGTTAATATTTATTGTACGTGTGTCTAGGTGAGCCGGCTACTGATGCTGGGTGGTGCCAATGTGAACTACCGTACGGAGGTGCTGAGCAATGCCCCTGTGCTCTGTGTTCACTCCCACTTGGGCTACATGGACATGGTGGCTCTGTTGCTGGAGTTCGGGGCCTCTGTCGATGCCCCGTCTGAGAGTGGCCTTACGCCGCTGAGTTACGCCGCTGCTGGTGGACACATGGCCATTGTGACTGCGCTTTGTCGCAGAAGAGCAAAGGTATGGATACGGGAGAGGGAGAGTGTATGAAGAAACTTTTGGTCTTGGTGTGCAATATTACATATGTATTTGTGTTACTGATCAACTCTATATCTTGTTAACAGGTGGACCACCTAGATAAAAATGGTCAGTGTGCCCTGGTTCACGCAGCCCTGAGGGGCCATATGGAGGTGGTGAAGTTTCTCATCCAGTGTGACTGGGGCATGGGGCCGCAGCAGCAGTCTCCACAGACACAACAACAGGCGGCCTTCACAAAGAGCCAGGCAGTGCAGCAGGCCCTCATCGCTGCAGCCAGTATGGGATACACAGAGGTACAGTAGAGACAGGCTGAGGGGGGTGAAGGTGGAGTGATGGCCTTGATTATCATCCTCTCCAGTGTGACATCATTCATTCTTCAGCCCATATTATGGACTCGTACTTTTAGAAAATTTAAATAAAAAATGATTAAACAATAAGGCTGGTCATTTTCTATATCAACAGTATTTGACACCGCGTACAGCGACTAAAACCAAAAAAGGATTTACCTCTACTCCCTGTTAGTGTCTGTCAGTTTGTCAGTCCTGTCTATGCCACTAACCTCCACTGATGTTCAAAAACAATTAAAAACACATCAGAGAAGCACACCACTGCACTTAGTGACATAATTCCTCATTACAAAACACCAGACCCTGATATTTATCAAATATATCCAGAGGTCACATGAATGAGCCCTTGACTCCTCCTTTCTTCAGATGCTGTAAAACGTTACAACTGTTCGGAGCCATTGGGGCAATATTTTAGAAAATATCAGAGTCTGGTGTTTTGTAATAAGGAAACGTGTCAACCAGCACAGTGGTGTGTTTCCCTGATGTGTTTGTAATTGTTTTTGAACCACAGTGGTCTGTGGCACGGACAAATAAGCAAATCCAGGACTGACAGATATTAACTGTGAGTAACGGCAAATCATTGTTGGTTTTAGTCTCTGTATAGGGGGCTGTTTAAAATACTGTTAACACAGAAAATGACTGACCTTATCCTTTAAGGGCTTACGATGGCCTCCTGTAACTCTTACTGACTCTAGAAGCAACTGACAATTTTGCTTCATGGAGTTCATCGGTTTTAAATTTCTACATTTGTTGAGGTAGATTTTACGAGGTTTTAACTTAACAGTGCATCACATTCACAGTAAAATCTAGTCAGTTATGCATTAAAATAAGTAATAACATCATATAATAATTTCTCATTGGAGCTTACAGTGCAGTATGTCATATGCCATGTTAATACCAGAACAACTGCTGAATATTATCCCAAAGTCCTGTTCTACTGGTCACACGGGGACCAAATGCAAGAAGAGTGTGACAGCACTACAATGGCAGCAGGTGTTCACTTTTGATAATAATTAGTGTCTGAAGGAAAACAAACCACAGCTGTTGCACAGACATGCACCGTCTTTGTATCTCCTTAGTTTTAGACATATTGTGTATTTATGATAGCAAGTGGAAGCATTTTGATCATGTTTTTATGTAACGTTTTCATTTTAGTCTGGTATAAGTAAATGTAGACATTAATCTGTGTCATTGTGAATCTTGTCCTGATCAGATCGTGTCCTACCTGCTGGACCTGCCAGAGAAGGATGAAGAGGAGGTGGAGAGGGCTCAGATCAATAACTTTGACACCCTGTGGGGGGAGACAGGTTGGAATACCTACTGTGGCCAGACATTACACCCATAAAACAGTACATTCAGTACTAACAGATCACTGGGGACGTTTTATGTTTTGTGTATTTGTGAAATTCCTGGGCAAATACAAATCCTGAGCCATACAATTCATATTATTTTAAACATGTGTGGCGTGCTAGGGGGGCAGAGCCCTGCAGTGCGGGTATGAGACATCGTTCTTGTGTGTCTGCTGCTGCTGCATCAGATGCTGATGTCAGTGCAGTGGTGTCACCGGAGCACAGACGGGGCTGGGCTCACACACAAGAGGCGGAGGGGGAAGGATGGGTGTGCTTCAGGGTGCTTAGAAAATGACCAGTCTGATTGCACTATGGCAGGGTGTTGAGAAATGTAATTTGTCTTTGTGACCTAAAGCTAAGAAACCTGATTGCCAGCCTTATTCCCCCGCTGCAGCGTCGGACAAGCTGCTTCTCACTGTCAGCTGAAGAGGGACGTGTGCTCACTCAGCTGTAGTTGTGTTGTTTATAAAGGATCAGAAGAATCACGGTTGTTTTTGAAGCTGATTTCTAATCCCAGTGTTACTGGTCAACTGAAAGTACATCATTCTTTGCAACAGCCAGAGGGAATACATACACATATATACAATATATCAGCATGCACAGACAGGCTTATTAAACTGTGTATATCAGTGCTCTTTTAGCAGACAGCCTGACCCGGGTCACCGCCCTGATTATAAGAAATGCATTAACTCTGCTTAAATGACTTTAATTATAATCACTGTATCTGAGGTGTTGTCTTTTCATAGACCTTTGCTCCCAGTAAGTTGTCTGGTCTCTTTTTATAGTGTCGTCAGAATTCAATATATTATAGTATTTTTATAACAATGTGAAAGGACTCTCTCATAGTGATGAACTTTTATGGAGCTTTTTAGTGAGTTTTATTTTATTGTTTAGCTGTTTGGCCATAACGTCTCGGTTCTCATTCGATCACAACACTATGACAACATCGTAGTAAGTGATAACAGACTTCATTTCCCCCAAATTCTACCCTGGAGCCATTAATCAATCGTTACATAATGGGCACAGTATTTCTCTACAAAACCATTTGTATTGACATGACTCAGAATTAGTAGAAATCTGTTTTTTACCCACTGCATTTGCCCTGCTTACCCTCTTCTCTTCACTCATTGTGTGCTTGCATGTCCAGCTCTGACTGCAGGGTCCGGCCGAGGGAAGCTGGAGGTTTGTCGTCTGTTACTGGAGCAGGGCGCAGCCGTGGCCCAGCCCAACAGACGAGGCGTCGTCCCACTGTTCAGCGCCGTCCGACAGGGACATTGGCAGGTTAGTGACCACCTGATTCCTTCCTTCAAAATACAGTCATTTCTTTATTTCACCAGCACTAATCATGTAAAACATTCAGTTGCTGTTACTGTATGTAAGGACATAGTGCTTTATTTGGGTATTGTAGATCGTGGACCTGCTCCTCACACATGGAGCAGACATCAACTTGGCTGACAAGCAGGGTCGAACTCCTCTAATGATGGCTGCCTCAGAGGGACACCTGGGAACTACTGAGTTTTTACTGGCTCAGGGTAAGTTATCAAAGATTTAAAAAACAAACTAACTTTGATTTAGGGCAAATTGTAGTTCAGGTTAAGGCTTTTTTATTTGTATAGCGCCAAATCACAACAAAAGTCCTTACTGTTATTAATATTAGAGGAAAATCCCAACAAATCCCCCTTGTAGCAGCACTTGGCGACAGTGGGGAGGAAAAACCTCCGTTGTGTTTAGGCTCTATGCTTCAGATTTTTTGCATGCTTTAAAATAAAGATTGTACAGAATATCTCAACAGATGTTTAATATGTTAATAGCTAATGAAATAAACGTGCATCCGTTTGTCTTGATACTTTGATTCAGAGCCTAAAGGTATTGTAGGAAATCCTTTTTAACTGCAATCACTATGCTTCTGCTCTGGCTGATTTTTGAGAGCAGTTCCCGTATGTCTTTCCCTGTTTGGAAACTAAACTATACACTGTGTTAATCTGTAGTCAGACCTAACATACAGTAGAGTATACACTATATTTGACTGGTCAGTGGAGGCACTAAGGAAAAATCTTGTGGAAACTGAAAGATTCAAAACAAGTAGAACTGCCTGAAATCTGACTTAGAAGCTTGGAACATGACAAAACTTGGTCTAGTGGTGTATTTTTTTATTTAAACCCCATATTCTCCCTATATAGAAAACACACATAGCCAATGTACTGATAGAAATGAGTGTAACAACAGTTTCTCACTGCTGCCTTTCCTTTTCCCAGGAGCCTCTCTGTCTCTGATGGATAAGGAGGGTCTGACCGCTCTGAGCTGGGCCTGTCTGAAAGGCCATTTACCTGTCGTTCGCTGCCTCGTGGAGAGTGGAGCCACCACTGACCACGCAGACAAGAACGGACGCACACCCCTCGACCTGGCGGCCTTCTACGGTGACTCAGAAGTGGTAAGTGGGCCTGTTCTCGATCGTCCATACTTGCCATGGTACCAACTGAAGTGTTTTACTAGCAGTGAGAATCAAAAACTGTCACACTAATAACTTCCTGATCTGCAGCTGCTCTCACATTTCTTTGTCTACTCAGGTCCAGTTCTTGGTTGACCACGGGGCCATGATAGAGCATGTAGACTACAGCGGGATGCGTCCCCTCGATAGGGCGGTGGGCTGCAGAAACACATCAGTGGTGGTCGCCCTGCTCAAGAAGGGAGCCAAGATAGGTAAGAGCAGGTTGCCAGACTAAGGAGCCTACATTTAGCACACAGAGGACCTCTTGTAATGCAGAGGCCTCGTCCTGTAGCCTGCCATGAAACGAGATAGCGTGAGATTGTATTTTGGTAGTAAAGGTTATGCACTGAGCTGCATGAGAGACTATGAAGGGAGAATCCAAAGATGAAAACACACATTTCCTACTGGTCATTATAGAGCATTGTAGCGTTTTACTGCAATGAGCCATGGATTCAGGTTTGTGTCTCCATGAAGCTTAAACCACTTCCTGATACTGTGTGTTAATCGGCCCCCAGTGCCACAGCATGCTGCTTCTCCTCAGCTATTTATGGCTCAGATGTGTGGGTTTTTTTTTTTTTTGCTGTTATATTACTGTTGCCACTGTGTTGTTTCGCTTTCTGTCTCTGTCATGTTCCCTCTGTTAGTCTGTATTGCCTATACTATCTCCCTTTTTCTCTCTCAGTCACATCCTTTCTCTCTGTTCCTCTGCGGTTGCTCAGAGACAGGTTGTTATTAGCCCTTGCGGTGTTTCTTTTCGGTATCTTTGTTTTCTTTTTCTTTTGCTGAGGCACTTATCTCCACTTCTCACTGCTGCTTTTTGTGTTCCTTTTCTCACTTCTCCTCCTCCACCACCACTGCCACCGCCTCTCTCTCTTTTTTCACCCTCCTGTTGTTGCTATGATTTTCTTTCCTCTTGCTCTTGCACTCCCACACCCCTGTTTTCTCTGGCAAATCCCCCTATCCTACCACCCGGTTCTCCTCTCCTTTCCCTTGC